GATCCCAATCCCGATCCCGATCCCAGTCTGCCCGCGGTGTCCCCCCCGGCCCGGGCCTCCCGCTAACCCGCTCGCTCCATCGCCAGCACCCAGACAGCTCTGTTCGTTTGTTCGTTTGTTTTAAATATATATATATATTATATATATATAAACATCCTTATTTATTTGGGGGTTGGGGTGGGCTCAGGGGCCTCATCACCGCGCTGCCAGCCCCTGAGGGGTTAAACCTTCCCGGAGTGAGCATCGCCCCGAGGGAGAGCCCGACCCCGCTGGAGCGGGGAGCTGATGGAGGGGAGGAGGGAAGGAAATTTGGGTGTCCCCCCCTCCTTCTCTGTGATTCCCAGTGGGATTGTGCTGCCTGGAAGGCGCTGCTGCCGTGTGAAGCGTCTCTGGATGAGAACAATCATCTCCAGCCACCAGGGCTGGCCCCCCGCCCTTACAATGTGGGGCACCCTAAAAACGAGACTGTGCTGGACCAGCCCTGCCCCCTGTGCCCTTTCCCTCCCCGATTTTCCTGCTTTCACCCCAGGATCCAGGCGAGATCCGTGCTCCCCGATTGGGACACGCTGTTGTCCCCATGGGAGACGTGACAAGCGTGGTGGCAGGGATGAATCAGGGTGTCCCCAGTCCCACACAGCTGGGTGAGTGACAGCAATGCTGCCATCCCACATGGAGCCGTCCGTCTGTCCGTCAGCGGGGTGAGTGGGCGTGGGCTATATTTGGGACCATGAGGATATTTTGGGAAAGGGGTGGGGGCGGGATTTCGGTCACTTGGGGGCTCTTTGTTATTAAAGGTCACCCGTGGCAGAACGATCCCAGCGTGGTCTCGTCCTTCACCTCGGGACGGGGTGGCAGGGACGGGGTGAGGAGGGGCGCGGCTCCCACCTCCCACCGGTGTCACTGGTGATGAAGACTCCGGTGGGAGTTTCCACCGTTTCCACCCCCAGGGTGCAGTTATTCTGTCCTGGAAAACCCTGAGTGGGATATCAGGATATCCATCCCTTGTGCCGTGGCATTCCCCGGGTGGACAAACAGCCCAACAGGGGACACCAGGTCGTCCTGGGGAAAACCGAGAGGAACAGAAGGGGCCTGACGGAAACCAGGTGTCCCCACAGTGTCCCCTAGGGAACAGGACAAGGTGCGCTGTAGGACAGGTAGGAAAGCGGGCCGCAGCACTCAGGGATGCCCCATGCGAGCCCACATGGAGAAGAAAACAAAACCACCCCTTTTTCTTGTTAATTTAAGTTCCTGCTGGGCCGGTAACACTCACCGCGCTCCGGTCGTTCCCGTTTTCCCCGCGGGTGGGACAAAGCCCATCCCAAATCCCGCAGTCCACGGCCGCGATCCGGAATTCCTGCAGTCCCCGCNACCAAACCCTAAATTGAGAGAAGCTCCCCAGATCAACCCTTGGACCTGGAGAAGCTCTCCAGATCAATCCTTGGACATGGAGAAGCTCTCCAGCCCAACCTTTGGACATCTCCTTGCTTGCCTCAGCAGCTGCCCAGCACATCCGCGCCTGCAAACAGCAGCCACGCAAGGAAGGAGCCTCCTTCTCCCCCACACTGCCCCAGGACGTGGCTGAGGGGAGCATCCCGTTCTCCCAAGGGGTTCCAGATGCTCCCAGGGCATGCATCTTCCTGCTGCTCCCTTCCCATCACCCATGATCCGTGTGCCCAGTTGGAAAAAGCAGACCAAAGACCCGCTGGTGACCAGTCCTCGTGCTTCCTAAGACAAGTGTGTTACGTCGCTAATTATATTTATATTCTCTTACTCCTACAAAAAGAAGGGATGAGTTCAGAATTCCACTGCAGATAATGCATTTATAATCTATCACGACAGCTATCTGGAAGACACCAATTTTCTTGTAATATGTTATGAAAGATTGAATAATTTATATTCTTCAACTAAAAATACCCAAACCAAATCGGAATAAGCCTGCCTACCAGCGCTGTGCTTTTCACATAGTACCCTGAACATCAACCACTCTTACTAGCCAAAAAAAATCTAGGCTCTTGTCAACAACAACGACAACAGAAAAAGAACAGAAAGAACCCAAACGAACAAGAAGTGGGGGGATCTTTGCACCACTCAGCTGGGCAATGCTGGAAAAGTGAAGATTCTGAGCTTTCAAATGATAGGACCAAAGAGAGAACTCGACTATTGCTCAGTGTCAGTATGTGTGTTACACAATTCATGTGGGAGGGGGAGGAAGGGGGGAAAAAAAAGAGGCAGAAGATTAGAAAAAGCAGCTTTTACAAAAACCACTAAAGAATGCATAAAGTGACCCTTGCACTTTTTTTTTTTCTTTTGTTCTTGCAAACAGACGAGGCGCTGCAGCCCAGCGGCCGCAGCACCGATGTAAGACTTGTGTAGTTGCATACAATGTTTGACTCCGGATCTGGAAGACAGCAAATACATTAAGAACAGGGAGTTAGAAGGATGTTTTCCTCTCCTCTGCACCCCTGCACCACGTGGAGCTGATCCATATGGAGTTTAACCATCCCTGTGGGCAATTAGGCAGGGAGCAGGGAAAGCAGCAGCTCACCCATGCTATCCAACACAGAGGATTACAAATATGCAGATGAGCTGCTCCCTGCTAATTGCTCACCAATTTGGGAGGGGCAGGATTAGCCTGGCGTAATTTGTGTGGCACAGAGAGATTTCAGATAACCCCGGGGCTGGATGGGCTCTCCACGGGCAGCATCGTGTTCCCATCAGCTGCCTGTGCTGGTAATTGGGCATGATGGGCCAAGGGCTGCAGGAACGAGCAGCTGGGATTGCTGGGATCCCAGGCATGACAGGAACACACAGGCAGTGCACGCAACCCCGGTGCTAATGAACAGCCTGATCTCCCAGCAGGGGAAAGGAAATATTCTGGGGACACAAAGATGGGGAGGGACTCTTTGTCAGGGGATGCAGTGAGAATGGTTTCAAACTGCCACAGGGCAGGGTTGGATGGGATACCGGGAAAGAATTCCTCCCTGTGAGCCCAGAGAAGCCCCTGGAAGTGCCCAAGGTGGGGCTGGATGGGGTTTGGAGGCAGCACTCACATGGATTGGCCAGTGGTTTACCAGTGTGGAGGTACGTAGCTGTAGGTGGGGGTTCCTTGAGCCCTGTACGTTGGCACGGACACTGGATGTGCTCCGATGGCGGTGTGTTGGGGGGTGGTCAACAAGGTTCCTGCGGGGAAGGGAAACACTTGGCACGGAGCAGAGGAGCTGGCATCCGTGCCTGCAGTGGGGCAGGGACAGCACCAGCTGCCTCCCTTTCCTTTCTCCCTTTTTTCCCTTCTCCCTTTCCCCTTTTTTCCCTTTTCCCAGATAATTCTTCTGCCCGCCAGACCCAATTCAAAGGTGTTGGACCCACACGAGTGGGATCAGCCAGCACCACAAACAGAATAAGAACACCTAAAGCCCCAGCAGATTTTCCATGCTAGCTCTGGCTCTTAACTTAAGGGTTTTCCTTGTTTTTTTTCCAGTGTCCCTAAAGACAGGAAGCAAAGCTGGCCACAACCTGCTGACATCTACCTGCTGAAAGCACTGCAACAGCAAATCACTGCACAGATCTGAAACAAACTGGAAGGAAGGAATGAGGGATGCAAAGGGAGATGAGGAAAAAAACTCAACAAATCTCCAGGGAAAATTGAGATGAGCCTTTTTTTAAGTCTGCAGCCGGTCAATCAGTCAGATCAGAGGGATTTTAGGTCAGAATTTGCACAGTGCCTTCACGGGGAGGGAGGACACAGCCCTGGACTACCCTGTTCTGGGAGCAAATGGGTGCTCAAACCAAATTCTCAGTTTCTGGGTATCTCTCTACAAATGTTATTAATGAAATTCTAACTCATCCCATGTGCATTAATTACATTTATCCACTTCTTAATATAAGCAACAGTAAATCTCTCAGAGTGGTTCTTGTCACATCCAGGCTGCAATATCTCTGCTTGGAATAGGGATTGTGTCCCATTACAGACTCCTATTTCACAGCTAATGCAGATGCAAAAGGATGAATGATGCTTTTTTTGGCATAATTCAATATACAATCCCAATAATTGTTAAGGAGAAAAATACAGGCTTTGGGAAAAAAAAAAACCAAAACCAAAATCCCTATCTTACTTAATGTGCTATTAATTTCAGTTAGAATCTGCATGTAAAATGTAGAGGAACAGGGATAGATAAAACAAGGTTAACATTCATTTTGTCAAACAAAAACATTCATTTTGTCAAACAAAAACATGACCATAAGTGTCTTTGAAAAAAGAGCTTGAGGGAAATACAACTACTTGAGGATGAACCAATGTGGTTATTCCTTCAGTTAAGGAACAGACAGAGGAAGGGACAACATATTTAAAGACATCGAAAAATCTATCTAAGGATGCAGGAGTGAGCCAAACCAAAGGTCTCCTCCTCCAAATTGTTAAGGAGAAAAATACAGGCTTTGGAAAAAATAAAACCAGCCCGTATCTTACTTAATGTGCTATTAATTGCAGTTAGAATCTGCATGTGAAATTTAGAGGAACAGGGATAGATAAAACAAGGTTAACATTCATTTTGTCAACCAAAAACACGACCAAAAGTATCTTTGAGAAAAGAGACCAAAAGTGTCTTTGAGAAAAGAGCTTGAGGGAAATACAACTACTTGAGGATGGACCAGCCTGGCTATTCCTTCACTTACAGAACAGAGAGAGGAATATATATATAATATAATATATACAATATATTTAAGGATACAGAATAGTGTATCTAAGGACGCAGGAGTGAGCCAAACTGAAGGTCTCCTCTGCTGAGTCAGGTGAGGATTTGGGGTAAATGACTGCATTTTTGCCTGCACAGGAGCAGCGCCCAGCAAGCAAACCCAGCAGGTGAAGCGGGGCAGCACCTGGGACACAGGGGGAGGTTTTGCCCCTGTTTGTTTCCTTACCTGCTGACATGGCCATGGTGGTGCCAGCCACCATGCCCATGGCCACGCCGTTGGTGCGCGGCGCGGCCACGGGCGCGGGGTAGATGGCCGAGGGGATGCTGTTGGGCTGCACCACCGTGGTGTGGTGGATGACGTGAGGCTGGGCCGCGTACACGGGCTGGGTGTAATAAGCTCCCTGGTGGAGAGGGGGAAATAAAAAAAAAAAAAAATCCCATCATTATTCCAGGTTTTTTCCAACCTCAGGAGTTCTCGGCTCTGTAACTCGAGCGCTGCACAAGGGCTGGTGGGTGGTGGTCCCATGGATGAGCTCCTGTGCCTGGGATGCCTTGAGGAGGCTGCCCTAGAACAGAGCTAAAGAATAAAGCAGGGATTTATTAAAAGGATCTCCTCAATGGGTTTGCCCTGGATGGATTCACTCCTTGACCCTGCTGCCTCCCTTTGATGGGATGAAACAGGGCCTGGATACAAACGTCTGCTGGTGTAGAAAAGGAACAAGAGATGGAAGGAAAGGACAAGCCATGGTTCTTGGGTCCAGGTATTGTGTCATCTTATTGGGTTTCACACAGGGCTCCAAAATCCAGGCTGCAGAGTTTTGAAACAAAGGGAGAAGGATGCATGGGAATAAAAGGAGCCAACAGAAAAAGAAGAAAAAGCTTCACATGCTAAGTAGTGAAGGGCCTGAAATGAGGAGATGCACAAGGGAGAGAACTGCTGTCCCCAGGGCAGGCAGCAACACTGTCAGGACCTGCAAACCAGGCATGGGAGGAAAGAAAACATGAATTTGAATCAGCAAAAGGGAGATTTTATTGTGCATTAGTGAAAGCCCCATTAGAGAACCTCTGAAGGTCTGGATTAAAGGGAGAAGGAGGCGCAGGGCAACTACTCCATCACTTATTTCTTTTAGGAGCTACAAAGGTTTACAGGACAAAGGGCAAATTCTGTGACTGGGATTGGAGAGGAACCAGTGTGCAGGGGTGGGTTGGACTCCAGTGGACTCAGGTGTGTTGGGGCATGGCTGAGGGCACAGGAGGTGGCACCTAGCTGGGTGTACAGGTTTGGCTGTGGGTGGGCACTATGATGGGCACAGGAGGTGGCACCTACCTGGGTGTACAGGTTCTGCTGTGGGTGGGCACTGTGATGGGCACAGGAGCTGGCACCTACCTGGGTGTACAGGTTCTGCTGTGGGTAGGCACTTCTGATGGGGTACATCGCGGTCTGGTACGGGTTCGGAGACGGCGAGTAGGGAGGAGGGGCGTTGTTACTCTGGGTTGGTGGCACCTTGTAGGGAGTCCCCGCAGTGTACCCTGCCACAGACACAAGAGGGTGCCAGTCAGGGCCTGGCATGGCTGCTCAGGGCTGGCAGGAGGGCTGGCAGGAACCATCCCCTGAGCAAACGGGCCCCAAAGACTGCACAGGACGGAGAGGAGAAGGCAAGGCTCAGCCCAGCCAAAACACTCAAATATATTTCACTTATTTCCTCAAATATATTTAACTCAAATATGTTTCACTTATTTACTCCACCAGTGCTCAGCAATTAGAGATGACCAAGATTTCAAGTCTAATATCCCACATCATCCTCCAGGCACTGAAACAGCGTGAAGAACACACGGAGCTTTTAGGAGCTCCCAAACAGCATCTCACCCCCTCCTGATTACTGCAGATTGGAAAAATAGGTGTTAATTAACAAGGGGAATAGCTGTGACTCTTTTCCTCACTCACATTAGCAGGAGAGCAACCATCTTCCAATGAGAAGTGGAAAAGGTTTGAAATATTGATCAGAGCAGAAGTGCAGCTTCCTCCATCAGGACTCCTCCAGGAACCCAGTCAGCCACAGACCAACCAACCTCCTGGTTTTACATCTAATGGATTTTCTTCTCTATTCTGAACTCATTTTTTCAAACAAATACCTCAGAGGCTGCCAGTTCTCAGTGTCACACTTCATTTCTGAGGGGTGTCTAGAGGTATGGACCTGCTTAAGTCTGTGAGGTTTCACCACTTTGAATACCAAGACCTGCAGTGTTTCCTGATTGATGAATCACAGACAGTTTATCTCCTATATTAAAAAGGTATTAAAACACAATAACCCAGGCAGAGGTAATCTGCTGTGCTTATAAACTGGGGAAAAAACAGAACAACCTGCAGGTAAAACAATGTGAAAACAAGGTTTAATGACACAAGATGATGGAGGCTCCTCTCAGTCTGGCAGATAATTTTAAAACCTAATTATGACTAACACCTTATTAGGATTAGGCTGGCGCGGCCCGTGCTGCTGCCGCTTTGTGGTTCAGCTGCAGCGAGCCTTTAAGCTCCAGCTTCTATTAAAATTGCTGATTAAATCCCTCATGTCACTCCAGAAATCTCAGCCTTATTGATCCTGCAGCTCACAAGTGCACAGAAATGGTTTTCTATAAAAGGCTTCTTGTGGGGGGGGGGAAGAGCTCAGTGGGGAATTTTCTGTTGCTGCTTGTTTCCAGGGTTCACCACAAGCAGGATTCCTCAGCTGGGCAAGGAACTGACAGGATGTCCACAATTCTATCTCTCTGCCTCCCTCAGGTGAGAGCCCACCTGCAGAGCTGCCTCCAGCCCTGGGGACACAGCAGAAGGACCTGGAGCTGCTGGGCAGAGTCCAGAGGAGGCACCAGAGCTGCTCCAGGGCTGGACCATGCCCATTGTACAGCCCCTACCCCAAGGAATGACAGGGACATCCTTTTTCCAAGAGAAAGTCTCCTAAAGACTTTTAAAATATTTATTTTTAATAATTCTTTTAATAAAAAGAAATTACATTTCTTCCTCTCACCTTGTTGTGTAATTGATTGGATTTAGAAGGAAAAAGGAGCCTGGAGTAGCTGTAAGGTGAGGAACCCTCTGACCCCACAGCACTCATGGCCCAGATGAAGCAGGGGCCAGAGGACACCCCACATACCAGGGAAAGCATCCCAGGGTTTATCAGGGAGCTTATCAGCCCTGCTGGAGGCACTACTTATCCTCTCCAGGGCTGAGATGACAAGGCTGCACTGGAAAAGCCTGTTTGACTGTGATCCCTCAATGGCATCTCCTCCCCCTGCTCAGTCAGCCTGGCTTACAAGGGGGGAGTTTCAGCAGTGCTCCTTGAAAATCAGCCTTTATTTTGGAATTCTTTCATTTTTAAGGGAATGGGGAATAATGTCCCTTTGGAGATAAACACCTGTGAACAACCCCGGGTTGCTCCCAGGGATCAAACACTCAGCTAAGAGAGAGGTTTCACCTTCTCCACTGGAATTCCTCCTCTGCAGCAGCAGCAGGAGGGTCAGCGGTCTCCTTTTCATGATCCTTCGTGGTTTTAATCCATCAAAGCCAGGCTGGATGGGGCTTGGAGCAATCTGATCCAGTGCAAGGTGCCCATGAGGGTTGGAGCAAGACGATGTTTAATTCCCTCCCAACCCAAACCAGTCTTTAATTCTGTGATCCCAAATCACCCTGTCCACACATCACCCTCCAGCAGGGGAGGCAGACAGGCACACACCACCCCAGTAAGCCCAGAAGGAAAGGTTTATTTACTGAATGCTGCAGAAGAAGCCTGGTAGGTCCTGTTCTCCGTGCCGGTGTCCACAGGGAGGTGGAAGGTGCCCTCGGTGGCACAGGACGAGGAGGTCTGGGGCCAGGCCTGCTTCATCAGAAGTGTGGCTGGAGTGGGGACAGAGAGGTGTCACACAGAGCACTGAGGGACAGCTTCCCACACTTAGGTCACACTGGAATCACCTGGTTCATCTCTTCCCTCCAGGTTCCTAGCCCTGAGCTGCTGAGCCCCACGGAAGGGACTTCACCTCTCAGTCAGGGCTTGGAAATCTTCCTGGAGCAAGGATGTTCCACACGCTGCACATCTGCTGAGACTCTGAATTAGCCCTCTCTGAAGGTACAGCTGTAAATCTGAGTGTCACAGGGCTGCAAGCTGGGAATGATTGGGATCAATCCTCTGGACTGGGGGGGCTAAGGAGGAATTGGCGCTGGGGCCACAGCCCGCAGCAGCACAGCACATCCCAGAGGATGGAAATCCACCTCCCAGAGTGTGCAGGGAAGCACTGCTGCAGGTCTGCTGGGCCACCAAACCCCCTGAGACTCTCCTGGACTCAGACAGGAATGGGGAGCACAGAGGACACCCAGCAGTGCTGCTGTGCTGGCCATCAGCAGCTGTGGGAGACACTCACGGGTGTGAGATCCACCCGGATGCTGCTGCACGGCTGGAGATGTGGAACCCTGCTCCTCCCTCCTCCAAGAGAAAACCAGGAGCTTTGTGAGAAGTCAGAGATTCAAGCCCAATTTCTCCTGCACGCAGTCACTGATCATTTTCTGCTCCAAGTGTCTGCCCTCTCCCAAAGGTTTGGGAGTTATTAAGGATTTCCAGGCTGCCTTGCTTTATTTTCCATGCTAGGCTGCACTCAGGAACATCACACTGGAGAGCAACTCCCAGTGCTGCCACAGAAACACTCCCTCACTTCTGCTTTTACTCAGAATCAGATTCACTTTTTCTCTGGATTTCACAGAGGTTTTAATCTCTGAGACTGATGAGACAATTCATTGCAATGTTACACGAATCCTTCCTCTGTGGTTTTCCCTCTCCACATTAAACCTGCCACAAAATCAAGGCAATTTGGGTTGGAGATGGCTGGGAGATTGCCACAGCTCTGCATTTTCTTTATTAAATCACAGATCCTTGGAGAATCCATCACTTAAAACTACACAAAAGGTGGACCAAGGAGGTTTCAGGAACATAAATACCTCCTGCTCCTTTGCAATAATTCACAGGGATCACAATCCAGCCATGACTATCTTATGCCATTTAAGGGACACTCCAACCAGTGTCTTCTGGATTTGGTTTATCCTCTCACATAAATAGAAATAAAATAAGGAGTTTTTGTTAATTATCAGTTTAACCCCCGGCAAATCAACCAGTGGGAACTGAGCAAACAACATGAGCTGTGGGTCTCTGCAGCACTGGGACTGCTCTGTTTTCCTGGCAGGATCTTAGGATGATATGGGAATGTTCAGGACATATTTTAAGTGGAAAACACAAAATTATGAACCAAAGCATTGTAGGCTATCCTGCTTCCCTCTAACAACCTCATTTGGGATGGATACAGCCTCCAGCCCTGAACAAAGTTTGCAAGAAGCTTAATTCCCCAGGCAGTCCTGTGCCTGAGTGCCTCAAAATGATGAGAGCAGTTATTCCTGGAAAGCTACAGGACAGGATGTTCACCTCTCCAGAGCCCAAGATACCCCTTAGGTGTCCCCAAGGAGTGGGTGGGCACCTCTAGAGGATGGCTCAGAGCTCTGCTGATGCTCCAGCTCCCTTCTGCAAAGCAGCATTTCCTCCAGCAGGATGCAGGAGCAGGAATGGGGGATTGGAGCCTCCATCCTGCCCCACAACATTCCCACGCAGATCCCTCACTTCTGGGGCTGATTTCAGTCCTGCTCTGTGAGGGCACTGCTGCAGAGCCATTACTTCTGCCCTGCATTATTAATAAACACAGCTCCAGCCTCCACCAGCAAAGTGTGTGTCCTACTTTCAGGAAAATAAAAAAAGGGAGGCTTTAATGAAGGAAGTTAAAACAAAACAACCACGAGCAAGACAGAATGCCTGTGAGGGAACATGCACCAGGCTTAATGAAGACATACATAATTTTATATTTTTTTAATTGTGCCTCTTGCAGCAGAGTGATTTTAGATGCTCATTACTGCATACTTAAAAGGGATTTTTTAAGAACAGTGTCCTAAAACAACAGGCTTATTGCAAGCATGAGTTTGCAATGCTGTGTTTTGCCTTGTGTCTCTCCCTTTAAAAGCTGTGGAAAAATGCAGCAGGAAAATCACACAGGGCAGGAATTGAAGTGAATGGAAAGGAATTGATAGAATCACAGAAAATCCTGAGTTGGGAGGGATCAATGAGGATTATCCAGTCCAACTCATGCCCTTGCTCGTAGGGCTCCTTTGGAATAATCTGGGGAATAATTTAACACCTTTTGGGCTCAAACACCAGCAAACATCTACTAGAAACTTGGCATTGGGAGAGGGAGAAATCAAGACTGGCTCCAATCACCATTTCCCTTTCCTCACTGGAGGAAACAAGAGGACTCCAGACCTCTACAAGTTCCTGTCCTTGTTTCCCTCTGACGCTGTTGCAAAGCTTAGGTCACTACATCATTCAATTTCCCATGTGGATCCCAGGACTCTGGAAACCACGAGGTCAAGAGAAGAGCATGAGCATGGCTGACTTCCAGTGAAGCTTCAGGGAGTGCTTGGAGAACATCAGGGACAAAAGCAGGTGGGATTTGAAAACTGCAATTATCTTTGCTCAGGGGTTGATCTCCTGTCAAGACTCTGCATGGAATCCACCAAAATTCATAAGGTTTGAGGCAAGAGACACCTGAGAGGGATCAGGAGATCTTCAGGGTGGAGCAGAGAGGGTGGTCAAGCTGGGACAGAATGGTTCTGCTCAAGAGACCTTGCCTGCATGTACCTCCCAAGAACTCAGAAACCACAACCTCTGTTCCAAGCAGTATTGAGGGGCACCTTTCCCTGGGCAATCTCCACATGGAGAATCAGATGAACTCTAGGTTTGTGATTAGTTTTTAGTGAGCTGGAGGGATTTCTGCCAGCAGGAACCACCCCCTGCCCAGCCTGGGAGCTTTGGAACAGGACTTGTCCATGGATGGGATGTTCAGGAGCAGTTATTCTGCTGGGAACATGCAGCATCTCTTTCTTTTTTAGACTCAATGTCTAAAATCCCTTATTTAATCCCTGATTTAGAATTAGTCTGCTGTTTGACAAATCCAAGATTTTGGCCCCAAGCTGATTCCCAGTGTGTCTGAAGGACACCAGGACCACATTGCTCTCCAGGCTTTTTCCAGCCTCCTGTGTGACAGCAGCTCCTTCAATCTGAGGAAACACTCTCGGTACTGATGGAGGTTTTAGCTCAGCCACTGAACCACAGAATTAGCTCAGCCCAATTCCATTTAGCACAGTTGAGGATGCTGTCACTCTGTCACATGTCCCCACTGCTGGGAGATTTTATGGCACTCCTTTTCCATCAGTTAGCTCTCTGAATCCCTTATTTTTTTCCTCCTGCAAGTCTGCTTTCCATTGAGAAGGGACCACTGAGTGTGGTGCTGGGAAGTCCCGAGCAGCACAGCCTGCTCCTGCTTCCCAGAGTGGTTAAAATGGTTTAAAATCCTGCTGTGATATTAAATGGTATTGATTTCAAGAGCTGCAAAAATTGTTTGTAACAGAACCATAGAATGGTTTGGGTTGGAAGGGACCTTAAGGACAATCCAGTTCCAGCCCTGTGCCTTGGGCAGGGACCCCTTTACCTAAACCAGGTCTCTTCAACTTGCCCTCATGATTTATGGGAAACTATAAAAGTCTCAGCATTTTCATTCCAATTATAATTTCTGAATTTTAATCTTCATAGTTTCCTTGCTAGTTTAGAGCTTAGCTGTATTACCCACTAGTAGGCTTTTGTTCTCCATAAAAATTGTCAGCTCTCTGGACATCAGGAGATTTCCAAGATGGAAATTATTAAATGGTGTCTAGGATGTACAAGAAGCAATTCAGACCCCCCCAAAAATCCCTATATCCTTCAGTGATTTGGGGTTTCCTCTCCCTTGGGTGTTCCCTTGGCCATGTGCCCACTGAGTGGAGGAGCTGCTGCCTGCACAACTGGGGACAAGTGACATTTTGTAATATCCAGGCCAAAATGCCAGAATGCTGCAGTATTTACATTCCTGGCTGAGCAGGGAGGACATTGCCAGCCTCTGGCAGGACAAGCTACTAATAAATTTATGGGCTTTTTCTTATTCTATGGAGTTGTTTTCATTTAATTCCTCCAGTGTTTTATCCTTCAGGGGAAAGGAGGGTGGCCAGCACAAATCCAGGGGAACAAAAATTGTTTCATGTTCCATGTTAAGGCTTTAATGGGAAAAAACTCAGCTAAAGACCTTATTAAAAGCACATAAACCCAAACAAAACACAACAGATCCCTTCCAGAATCATCCACAATAAACAGCTTTACAGAATATGTGTAAACTGTGATGTGGAGAAGACAAAACCAAAAGATTTTGGCAACAAACCGCTCATTCCTGTTTCATCAGCCTTGGAAAGTGCCTGAGCCTGGGGAGCCACTGATTTTATGGCAACTGGGGGACTGAAAACTTGGCAATTTAGGGGAAGAGAGGGCTTAGCAAGACTGGCACAAAGTCCAGCTCTTCTGCTGCACACCGAGCTCCAAAGGCAGCTTCATTTGGAAGGGCTAAAATCCTGCAGCTCTTTTGAGGCAAAACCACTCAGAATAAACATCTCAAGCAACCAAAAGTCAAATTGAAGGGTGAGATGTTATTTTTTATCTGCAGTGCTTGGGAATGGGTGAGCAAGGAATGTTTTGAGGCCTTTCTGAGGATTCTTACCTGGGGCATAGCCAGGGCTGCTGGTTGGATACATGCTGGGATTGTAGGCTGGGGCAGCAGTGGGATAGCCTGTTGGATAACCTGAAAGGAGAGGAAAACACCATTAGGATTTTATCAATCCGGCAAGGATGGCATCCCTGAAAAGCAATCAACAACCTGTGAGAGCACAGAGGCCACTGAGGGAAAACACAAGTAGATTCCCTGGGGATAGGAAGGACCATGAATGTGCTCCATGTGTGACATCATCAATATTTCATCCTTATTTCTGCAGGAAACAAGGATCAGAATGCAGAATGCAGGTGTGCTCACTGTGCTTTGGAGAAAACTGCTGGGAAAATCCATACTCTGAACATGGAATTCCTGTACAAAACCCCACCAGCACAGCAATATTGGAAAGGATTTCCTGGGCTGTGTAGCAGCCCTTTGGAGAGCTCAGCACTCCCATTGAGCAGAGTTCCTTGCTGAAGGGAAGGCAGGGATCCTGCAGGAAAACATGCCAGCCTGGGATTCACCCATGGCTGCACAGTGCTGTTCCCAGGAGGGACCTGATTACCTGCCAGGCCACCTGGAAAGGCCCTCTGGAGCCAGGCAGGGTTTAATGGGCACTTTGGGCAGGGCTGCAGAGCACCCTCAGCTTGCATCAGCCTCACTGGCACAGGTCAGAGGGAGTTCAGGGCAGCTGTGTGAGGGAAGTGAGGGGCTGGAAATCCTGGCACAGCCCAGAGCCTGTGTGCACCCACACAGTGCACGTTGGCAGCTGATTTCTAGAGTCCCACACTGTCGTAATCATGCTTCTAAAGTCCCATACCTTCTCAGTGATATTTCTAGGGGGCAGTTCTTCACAGCACAGACTCCTTCCTCTGCTTGGTGCTGCTTCTCAGCCAGGGCTCCTTCCAGGCTGTCCCTACCTGGCCAACCCACCCCCTTTTATCCCAGTTACCTTCACTGGCCACAGCTGCAGCCCAATGAAGGACATCACAGCTGCAGCCCATCTACAACAACCGGGGCTCATCAGGGCAAGGCCTATACACAGATATTCAAATACAACACAGATATTCTACTGGGACTCCTACTACAGTGCAGGTGTCCAGCATCCAGTTCCTACCTCACTGGAAATTCCTGTCCTCTGTGGAGAGCACAGCCACAACCTCTGCTCCTTTTCCACAGAATCACACCATGTCCTGAGCTGGAAGGGACCCCAAGGATCACCCAGCCCAGCTGCTGTTCCTGTACAGATATCCCAAATCCCACTCTGTGCATCCCTGGAGTGATCTCCAAATGCTCCTGGAGCTCTGTGGAGCCGTGCCCATTCCCTGCCCAGCACCTCTGGGGGAAGAACCTTTCCCTAAAATCCAACCTGAGCATCCCCTGGCACAGCTCCAGCCCTTCCCTGGGGTGCTGTCACTGCTCACCATTTTGCTTTTCATTTCCCTCAATTTCTTGCAGGTTTTCCCTACAGAAAAGAGCAACACCTGAGCAACTCCATCCTCCTTAGGTGCTGTTGAGTAAACCCCCCTGGCAGAGGGAGCAGGGCACGGTAACCCTGCTTTGCTGGTGGACAGTTTGGCTCTGTGTGTGTCACCACTCGGGTTATCTGGGTGTCCCCTTGGCCAGCATCGAGTGTTTCCATGCCAAGCCCCACTGATGCTGCCTGCTGGCTGCCAGCTAAGGCTGGAAGGAGGTAATTAGCAGTGGATTTACACCCATCTTTTTTAATATTTCATTTTATTAAATAAAAGCCAGCATGGGTCTGTATTTCCCTCTTCTGAGCACCAAAAGAGCCACAGCCCAAATCCCAGTGCTCCCAAAGCCTGGCACCACTGGCTTCTGTGGCAAAATGTTGAGGTTCATTTGAATAAATCTAATTCAACAATCATGGCCACTGTACTGGAATAAATGACTGGATGTTCTACCCTCTCATTTTCATCAGTGATATATTTGGCTTCTAAATCAGGTTAATTAAAAATTGCTGTAGTTAATGTTGGATAAGCAGCAGTTTAACAGAATTTTTTTGGTTGTTTTTTAGGCTACACAGAACTGTGTTTTCATCGTACCCAGGAATATCTAAACCCTTCCAGCAATCAAGAAGCTCCTTAGAAAGTTATTTGCAGATGCAGTGATTGCAAGCAGAGCATTAATGATGAGGATCTTCAATCAGAAACATCCCTTCTCTCCCTCTGAGGTGCCACCAGTACTCACCCACTGCCAAAATCATGAAAAAACCTTTACTCAGATCAAAATTTTTAAGGGGTTATACCTTAAAAAAAACAGAGCCTGAAATAAGTCAAAGCACACGAAAACTGAGGTTTGGGGTAAGATTTTCCATCCAGCTGAGTTTTGAAGGATTTATTTCAGGCAGATGGAGGCAACTGTGCATTTATAGAATCACAGAATTGTTCACTTGGAAAGGACCTTCAGGACCATCAGGTCCAAGCTCACCCCAGCACTGCCAGGGCCACCACTGACCCATGTCCCCAAATGCCACATCTACACCTATTTTAAAACCCTCCAGTGCTGGGGATTTAACTGGTTTTCCTCCTTTTTTTGGATTTATTTTATGCTCGGCAGGACTCTTCCTTCCTGTGGTATCTTTTGTTGTTCTGAAGGTAAGTTATGGCTGGGTTTGCATTCATTTCAGCTCAAATAAATATGGTTTCTATCAAGGAAGCTTTAATAGCTTTGGATGCCAAGAGAAGCCCTGCTCTGCACTATCTTCCACTCTGATCTCATAAACTTTGATAAGTGCTGACCTCCAGCAAGAAAACTTGTCCTTTCTATTTTAAGGCAAAGCAGAGATGGGAAAGGTACAGGAAAATTAGTGTGGATTGCTCCTTTTTTTGGACATAGTGAAAAATAAGAAAGCAGCAGAATCTGGGGCAATTTGTGCCAGAAGAAACATGCCTGGCAATTCCCAGCACTCAAAATCCAGCAGGTTTAAAAATACATGAGGCATTTTTTATTTAGCAGGGCCTGTTGTGATTGGACAAAGGGAAAGGTTGCAAACTGCAGGAGGGTTGATTTAGATTAGATATGAGGGTGACATTTCTTACAATGAGGGTGATAAAACATTGGCACAGCGTGGCCAGAGCAGCTGTGGCTGCCCCTGGATCCCTGGAAGTGTCCAAGACCAGATTGGATAGAGCAGCCTGGAATAATGGAAGGTGTCCCTGCCCATAGACACTGGATGACCTTTAAAATGTCCCTTCTGACCCAAAACTTCTCCATAATATTATAATTTTTATATCTTCTTGGTTTTGCACCTTTTGTTTGCTGGCTCTTCCTCACCCCCCAAATAATCCCAAATCAGCTCCCATACGGAAGAAAAAGCTGAGCTCCCCATGATGGTCCCAATGCCTTACATCCCCTTGGGTACAAAACAAAATCAGGATCCAGCAACCAGGAATGATCTCAGGAGAGGTGACACCACCAAAGCCTGCAGCATCCTGCTCTGGTTTTCCCCCTGGAAAACCCAAGACACCTCCTGTAAACTCCTGCTCCTGCTGCTGACAGCGCTCCCCTCCTGCCATTCTGTCCTGCCCCGTCACCTTGAATGAAAAAACAACAGCAAGAGGCTCAAACCCACTTGACATATAATGTCAGGAACAGAAAGAAAATATCCTTTACTTCCTATGGATCTGCACATGACAGGACTCTGTCTCTGCTGGGCTTGAGGCCTTGCATTGGTGCAGAAGGGGAGAAAATGAGATGAAAAATATTGAACAAAATTTATTAGATTCCTCGTAGAAGAAATCCAAAGTTGTTTTGTGGCTTATTTTAATTTAATATCATCTCCACAATCAATAGGAGTAAGAAAGGCAGTGTTCATTTAATCTCCTCCCCAGGGAAAACACACAGCACTCCAGCTCTGGGAAGCACTGCTGAGCAGCTTTAAAAATCACCACACAAAAACTGTGCAAAGCAAAAAGCACATGGGGCTGCTTCAAGCAGGTATTTAAAAGCCATCTTTAAATTTTCATGTACTTTAAATGTTTCTGTAGCAAAATCACCTAAATAACACCCAATACATAAGTGCTAAGGCTATGAAGGTTCTCTTGAAATTCTTGAAAGAGAATTTGCTTCTCTTTGGCTACAGAGCCCATGTTTGGTCCATGGTCTCAGCCTCCCAGCCACTGGGAATTGTCACTTCCAACACTGAATTCCAGAATGTGCCATTTCACTTTTTCAAGAGTAGTTTCATTGACCATTATCTGATCAAGGCCTTAATTGCTACGAGCAGCTGACATTAATTTACAAGACAAAATATTCTCCTTTTTTCATTTCCTTCACCACTCTCAAGCAGCACAGACTCCTCAAAGTGGCCATGTCACAAGGATTTTTACAGGATGATAAAGTCCCTTATCTAAGGGCAGGACAAAGCACCATAAACCCACACTTCAGCTCCTTGAGCTGCCAAGGACTCCAGCTCCACACTCGCTGCAATTGAGAGCTCAATTAACCACCAGCAATCCCTGCAAGGAGAGGGCAGGCAGCCACACAAAACTGTCCCTCTTGTGGCATCCACTGCACTTTGAGATAAATGAGATAAATTTGAGCTAATATGAGGTAAAATTGCTGCCCAGGGCACAGGTGAGTCCCCATACCTGAATGGGGTGGATGTGGTGCTTGGGGACGTGGGTCAGTAGTGTCTTGGGCAGTTCTGGGGCAATGGCTGCACTCAGTGGTCCTGAAGGGCTTTTCCAACCCAATCCTGTGCTTCTGTTTCACCAATCCCCCCTCTAAACGCTGTTAGCCACTGTCCAGCCCTTTGTTTGTGCTGAGTGACAGCTTTGAAGCTGCAGCAGCCCCAGGAACATTCCTGCTTCATGATCACCTCCCCGGGTCAGCCAGATGGAGCCAAAGCATTTTCCCCTGCAAAACACTTTCATGTTCTATTTTAAGCCCATCCAGCATTTCTCATTCTTTAGTGCCCAGCCCTCAGAAATTCTTCAAAAACAGGATTTGCAAGCACCTTCTCAGGACAAAAATGTGAGAAGCCTCATGCCTTCAACTACTCACAGATGTAAATCCATTCCCTTTAGAGCTATTGGGAATTCATTCCTGCAGAGAATCCCACGTGGGGA